AGGCTAGCTTTCCCAGTTACTTCCTGTTTTATTTTGGTAGTCTTTTGTCCCTTGTAATTTGTCCCTAGTTTTGCTTCACTTGACAAATTTTAATTAATTAGTTTAAACTGTACCTTGTCTCGCCAGCTGTCTCTCATCCTCCTGATAAGCTATCAGGCTATCTCTCTGTGTCTTTTTAGTATTCAGTCTGTGTCTGCATTTGGGTTTTTATCTTGAAATATGTGGCACATGCTCTCCCCTCAGAGTTTATTTCCAGTGGGAGCACTTTGCCAGCTCTGCCAGCATGTGCTGCTTGTAGCATGGCAAATGCTTGCATATTAGTATTTTGGGGAATGGTCCACAATAAATCAGCTAAAAACATTTAGAGAATCAAAGGAAAAGGGTGGTTGTAGGGCAAAATGTATATTTGCATTTGATATTATGTATGATAACATCAGACTGTTGATATTGACTCTTCAGTGTGCAAGCTAGCTTATTAAGCTAGTTTTAATTATTTAGTTTTATTTGGTAGTTTAGTTCAGTAGTTTTCAGCCTAGGGATTTAGGGCCTCTCCTGGGAACCATAACATAGATAAACAGATGTGAACATACTTACTGTGATATTACCCAACGGGTTGTATTGAAGTCTTGATATGGCCATACTGCCATACTTGTCAGTACAGCCAGATGTGACTAGTTAGTTTGGTTAGCACGTTTTATCTACTGTTTTAACTGATGCCCACTGATTGGTGCGAACACAGACATAAAATAACACTAGAATTTCACTCATCTGAGTACAGAATTTTTTTTCTTAGTAACAATAAAACATATCTGAAGTCGAGCTTTTCTTTTGCTAAAATAAATTTTCCACAGTATGACATGAAACAGTGGGTAAACACAGGTGAAACTAGTCACAAAAAGCTCACATCCAAAAAGAGCTGAACCACTAAAGTAGACATTAGTAACACCCATGTTTACTTTGCATTTAATGCTCTGGTAACGAAGAGCAAACTGACTTTTGTGAAGTGTTAACATTTAACTACTAGCTTCCCAGCTACCATAGCAAGCTAGCTATGCTAGCAAGTTAGATGCATGAGTCCCAAGCCAAGTGCATTCAACTCAGTCACATCACAGCCAGGAGCTGTACACACCAGGCTGCTGTGGTAGTTTAGTTAACTGATGTTAAATGTCAAAAGAAGTAATGTGATGCTAGTGGAAGCTGTGTTGGTCAAGTGTCTCTCCCCCACAGTTAAGGCTTGACTAGAAGCAGTTACTTATTTTGCATTACTTTTTATTGTTATTTAATCCACTCAACACTGACTTTCTTTCTTTCTTTCCTTCCTTCCTTCCTTCCTTCCTTCCTTCCTTCCTTCCTTCCAGAAGAATCCTCTCCAGTTTTTACTTAGTGGCTTTCACTCTTTTGTTTCATTTTGTTATTCATTGTTATTACAAACCTTTTACATTGCCACTGCTGTAGTTTAAGGTATTTTTAAGTAACCATTTTTTGCCAACAGAAGTCTAAACCATAGCTCGGTTTTTTGATCATCTTATTAAAAAAAACAAAAAACAGATGCCAGATGAGATAAGGAGTCCTTTATCAAGTGCCGAGCTACTTCTTTTGGTAACACCTCACACACACTGTTTACTATCTATTGTGTCTCTGCTTCCCAGGTCGCGGTGACTTGATTGGCTCTGACTGTCTGACACAGGAGGAAGTTATAAAGACCAACGCCTGTGTGAAAGCATTAACCTACTGTGATCTGCAGTACATCAGCCTCAAAGGGCTGCGTGAGGTGCTCTGCCTCTATCCCGATTACGCTCAGAAGTTCATCACGGAAATCCGGAACGATCTGACGTACAATCTACGAGAAGGGCACAACACTGAGGTACAACAACTGCCAAACATCACTACATTACCTTTGTTGTCAAGTAGCAATTTTACCACATTAATTTTAGTTTCAGGCTAAACATTATTTTTGAAGCAACACACATTATAAATCCAGTGGTGATATTTTATCAGTGATGTTCAATGCAATAAGAAGAAGAACAAATAAACTCAAGGTGTCAGCAGTGACTGGTGGTTGGTAGAAGGAGGTAAAGCACTTGGATTGTTCTCCACAGACACATATCCTATCAACATGTTTACAGCCAGATGGGATGTATAATCCCTCCATTATACTCCGGGTTGATTTAAGGAACAGAGCAGATGCCACCCCAAAAAAACACCCTTCCACTGGAGAGCCATTATGAATGTTATGGGTCCTTCTTACCCTAGCTTTAAGATTTATTATTATTATTTTTTCTTTTAAATGTGGACCCCAATGCAATGTGAAGCCCTGAAATCCTAAACGGCAAAAATGCGAATAAGGAAAAAAGTGAGAGGAACACTGAGAACGAGCAGAGGTGACCAAGAAGATGGAAGGACAGGGTACAGGGAGAAAGCAGGACAATTAAACACAGAACAAAAGGCAAAAGAAATGAAGGTGGCGGAAAAAATCATAAAAGTTGAGGGGAAAAGGCAAAGGCAGGAAGTAAATCAACAAGAGGCGCAGAAGGAAACGCAAATGCCAAAATAAAATATCACTAAAAACTGAACAATTACTTAACAAAAACATCCAAAGTCATGGCAAACTCATTTTATAGTCACTCCACATAACTTATGTGCAGAACTACGGCTATGTCATTACCTGCATTAGTAAAAGCATCATGTGTTCCTTAACCAAGCTTATTTTGCTTCACAAAGGGCGAAAACTCATTTCCACTGATATCAATACACACCTCCTCTAATTGGCTAAAAAAAAAGGATTAACGTACCCCTAATCACAAACCAAATTCTAGCTAATACATTTTAAATGTAACTAAAGTACAAAAATAGTTTGTCTGTGTCTTAGATTAGTCTCAGTTGTGCAATGATCTCCTCCACCCATTATTTTTTTTTTTTACGCCATGCCGCGGCGATGGCTTTGCACTTGAAAAGGATTAGCCATCTGGACCGGGACTGAGGAGGAACCCGCGACTTCTGCTTGAGACGCAGCCAGCGGATAAAGACACGATCTAAACACGAGGATTCACATGCCAGGGCTTTACAGATGGATCTCAGCTGTAGCATGCACATGAAAAACCAGCTTACACTAGAAATAAGTCACATTTTTACTGTGAGTAAGCTTGCTAATGAGCACAGAGGAGAGAGAAACCATCAAGGGGGCAAAGACAGTCAAACATAAGGCCCAGGGGCCATAATTAGCCCTCCAAAGTCTCCAATCTGCTCCCCGGGAAAAATGTAAAGAGTGGCATGAATCTTAGACTTTTAACTGTATTTTAATACTTTTTTACAGCTTTTCCTACTGATAAAGACCTCGCCCATAACCATTCAGTTTGTACCAAAGTAAATAAGTAATAGATAAACAATTAGATGATAGAAGGTTGTAGTTTTTTCACTATCTACTGTAAAAATTGATGATTTTTACACTGGGTTCACCAGTGGGCTGTAATGTTACAATTTTACAATTTAAGTCCAAAGTCATGTAAACTGGGCTCTGTGTGGTCCACAATGTAAAATGAGTTTGACATTCATATAGTATAACAAAAAAAGAGAGATAAATATGTAAATAAAACCTAAATGACTTGTTTTTTGTTGTTGTTCTTGTATAAAACATCACTGCTGTTAGAAATCCTAACCTTGTCCCATTTTTAGGTGTAGTATAATAAAGTTAGATTTCACCTGGTATGAAATGATTGCAGCAATTTCTTACTAAATATTAGATTTTGCCATAAACATTTCACTTAACATTTATTGCTAAATTCATTCTGCCTGAAAATAGCCTAGTTTCAAATTCTGAAATTTAATAATTTAGAAGATAAAATTAAATCTTTAAGCCTTACAAGATAAATGTGGTCATGTTTTCAAACAGGTTAAGCAAACACAGTTAAAATTCAACTCTGTTCCAGCTGAATTTTACTCAAAAGATGCATCAAAACAAGTTTCCAAAGCCAAGAACAGTTTTGGAAAAATATGGGCTTAATTCTGTCAACAAGAATAATTAAATTAGTGCATTGACAAGACACCAGTTTGAGATGATTTGAGCTTTGTGAGTTGTCCAACTTTGTGCTGCCATCAGAAGATGGTACACGTGGACATGGTCAGCAACAATACTCAGACAGGTTGTGGTAAATGGTAAATAGCCTGTATTTGTATAGCGCTTTACACATCCAGTCATCCACCCATTCACACACACACAATGTTAAAATGATGCTCAGCTGGTACTTAAGACACCCAAAATGTGTCAAAAAGATATCCTCCACACCATTACACCACCAACAGGGGGATCTATTAAAAGATATGATGGAGCCATGCTTTTGTGTTGCGTACCCAGAAATGCAGACTCGTCAGACCGGAAAATGTTTTTCCTGTCTTCTGTTTTCCAGTTGTGGTGATCCTTTGTGAAATGTAGTGTCAGTTTCCTGGTCTCAAATGAAAGAAGTAAAACCACTCACTGGATAGTTTCTCTTTTTTTAAGATCGTTCTCTGGAGAACCTAGAGATGGTTGTTTGGGCAGTTTCATGCTCCAAGTCACTTAAATCACCTTTCTTCCCCATTCTAAATGTGCTGACTTGCTGTCATGTGATTGGCTGATTAGATATTTGCATTAACAGGCAGTTTCGAATCAAGATGGATGCAGATCCAGCACGAAAAGATAAGAATAAATCTCAAACTCGCTGCACCAAACTTGTCAGCATCTTACAGTCACAAACCCACATATGGAGTTTATATATATGCACGTGCAGCGAAAGCAGCGGTGCATCCTTAAGTGGGCACAGCGTGGGACTAAAAATAGTGCTGTCAGATGTGTGTGGGAGGGGCAGGGTCATCCCCAGATGGATAAAAATAGAGCGATATCCAGATGGAGACGAGACGAGGAAAACATCAGGAGGAAGGGGAAGCTGCAGGGGAAGAAGGAGGAAGAACCTTGCTGATATTTGCATTCACGTGCAAACACACAAAGAAATCCACACGCACAGTCGTATTTCCATCACTTACAGAAGACAATTACTTTCATTCATTTCCCGGAGACTCAAACCAGACTTCACAGTGATGTGATTGTGTCAACACATGTATAAGTGCAAACACAATGCAGATAGCAGGCTAACATAACACAACATATTTGCACTTGCTAAAAGATTCAGAAACTCACACACACAACATGTTACTGGTCACACTCCAGCCCAGTGTTCATACATACACC